CACCCACATAGATCAATGGACTAAAATTGAGAGTCTAGAAATAAATTCTTACATTGATAGTCAATTATGGCCCGAGTGGCAAGACAATTCAATGGGTAAGAATAGTCTTTTCAACAAATGCTTCTGAGGCAACTGGATAGCCACATTCAAAAGAATGAATTTAGACTGCTGTCTTACTACAAATACAAAAATTAATGAAAAATTGATTATAGACCTAAGTGTAAGAGCTAAAACTATGAAACTCTTAGAAAAAACTGGTAAATATTCATAACCTTCGATTGTGCAATGGTTTCTTAAATATAATACCCAACAACCCGGTGACAAAAGAAAAAAGTATAGAAATACATTTCATCACAATGAAAAACTTACTGTGCTTAAAAAGATATATCAAACAAGTGAAAATATACCCCCAGACTAGGCAAAACTATTTGTGAATCATATAGGGAACTTGAATCCAGATTACATAAGAATTCTTACAACTCAAAAATAAGAAGATAAATAATCAAACTAATAAGTGGACAAAGGATTTAAATCCATTTCTGCAAAGATGATATACAAATTCCCAATACGCATGTGAAGAGATTCTAAGACAGTATTAGCCATTAGAATAGTACCAATCAAAGCCACAATGAAATACCACTTCATATCCACTGGGATGGCTATAATAAAAATATGAACAAAGCAGGTGCTGGGAAAGATGTGCAGAAATGGAGCTCTCCTATGTCACTGGTAGGAATGTAAAACGGTGCAGCCATTTCTGAAAACAGTTTGGCACTCTCTCAAAAAATTAAACATGGAGTGACCATTAGACCCAGCAATTCCACTTCTTGGCTTATATCCAAAGGAAATGAAAACATATGTCCATGCAAAAACTTGTACACAAATACTCATAATAGCCCCCAAGTGGAAATAACCCACATGTTTACCAATGGATAAAGAGATAAAATATAGCATAGTCATACAATAGCATATCGCTTAGCCATAAAAAGGGAATGCTGTACGGATACATGTTACAACATGAATGAACTTTGGAAACATTATGCTTAAGTGAAAGAAACCAGAAGCAACAGGTTATGTATTTTAAAATTCTATTTATATGAAATATCCAGAATAGGCAAACTCAGAGAGACAGAACGCAAAGTAGTGTTTGCCGGGGATGCAGAGAGGAGGAGTGGGAGTGACTGTTAATGGGTATGGGGAGTGTTTTTTGTTGTTTGTTTCATTTGTTTTCAAGAATGATGAAAATGTTCTGGCTTCAGATAGTAATGTTGGCATATTTTTGCAAATATACTAAAAAACACTGAGTTATATACTTGGAAAGGGTGAATTTTATGGTATGTGAATTAAACCTCAGTAAAACTATTATTTTTAAAGCTCAACAGTGTAAGAATACTGTATTTTATTTTTAAAGTAATTGATTTGTCTTAGATAGATGTTAATTCATACTCGTTTACAATGAAGCCACTTACTAATGGTGCCCTGTGTAGTCAAACAATAATACCGTCCTGAAATCAATATAGTCTATGACCTAATTAAATAAAATAATTTATTATTGTAAAAATATTTATCATTTAACAGGGTCCTGAGAGCCCATGTGCTGAGCAAATGTGCTCACAATGAGGACTGAGTAACTGAAACTCACTGAGAAACAGCAGGGCAGACCAGTTACCAGGACCCTGTGAAATACCAATGGACTGAAACTTGATGGCATATGTTATCCCGTGGGACCCAACCCTGGCTGGTCATCAATATCCCTGGTGGGGATTTACAAACACGAATTGCAGGGCCTCGCCAGAATAGCCTACAGACGCTCTACACCCATGTCCTGGACCTTGGAGTTTAAATTTCCTGCTAAGTTACAACAGAAGAGCAGCCAGCTTTGCGAACTACATTCTCCATCATCATTCTTCACTTCTAGGCAGGTCCTCCAGAAGGTTGAGCTGTGTAACCCCCTCCAGCAACTCAACTCATTCTAGTATAGAAAACCCACTGGAGTTAGTGTATCTGACCTGATCCTGTTAGGGTTTAGAGCAATTTCTTTTTGCCGACCGCCATCAGCAAAGCTTGGCACACAGAGCATGGTCCCATTATTACGATGCAATTAATGCGCTTTCCCAGCTGCATGTGACTTTGTTCCCTCGCATATCCTAAATTTTGTTTCCCTGACAATTGGTAGCTCCCAAGATGCTATGTACTCACTCTAAATACATGCACGGATGATGTTGCATGAATGTTCGGATTAAATAAATTAAGCTTCAAGAATGTTCTGAAAGATTTAGTATTTGACCTGGAAAACTTTTCTGCTTGTCCTTATAAGGGGGCTGCATGACTTACTTTTCATAAGGGAGTCATACTTTTCTTTAGTGCTCTCCTAGGTCTTTTAGCCAAAACTCCAGCTAGGGAGCAAGAGAAAGAAATATAAAATACTTAAAATTCTGCAAAGCCTTATACTGAAAGACTCTTTGGTACAAATTATATCTCTTCAAGGCTGGAAAACCTTGCGATGTAATAAAGCAGATTAGGAAGTCTCTACAGAGAGGCCAATGTCTTCTTGAGACCTATCAGTAAAAACAGAAAAGGGGTTTCCGACTCAGTGGTTCTCAAACTTGGAGGCTTCTTATGCTAAGTGAAATAAGCCAGTAAGAGAAAGACGAATACCATAGGATTTCACTTACACGTAGAATCTAATGAACAAAATAAATAAACAAACAAGATAGAAGCAGACTTGTAGAAAGAGAGAACAGATGGTCAGCTGTCAGGAGGGAAGGATTTGGGGGGCTGGGTGAAAAAGGTGAAGAGATTAAGCCAAAACAGAAACAAAACATAGACACAGACAACAGTCTGATGATTACCAAAGAAAAAGCAGGGTGGGGGAAGGAGAACAGGGAATAAGGGGGATAAATGTTGATGGGAAGAAGACTTGACTTGGGGTGGCAAACATACAATATGATATACAGATGATGTATTATAGAATTGTACACCTGAAACCTATATAATGTCCTTAACCAATGTCACCCCAATAAGTTCAATAAAAATTAAATAAAAACTCCCTGATGCCCAGGCCACACCCCAAACCAAGTAGATCTGAATTCTGATGGTGAGACAAAAGCATTAGTATCTTTTGATGCTCTCCAGATGATTCCAATACACAATCAAGTTTGAGAACCATGGCCCTTCCTCTTACCCCAGAGACTCCTCACTGCCAATGACTGATTCCTAATTTATACTTTGCCTAACTGAAGTGAAGAGTGTACCACCTTCATGAAGGCATATCTTCTCCTAAGACAGTGGAACGTTGGCAAGATGGGTCCTTTTTGACCATAGTCACCTACTTCAATGGGCCAACCAGCACAAGGCACAGGACAGTTCCTTTTCAGTCAACCCATCTCTTTGCTCTGTTGAGTTATGTGACATGTCCAAAGACATTAAGTGTATATGTATAAACAGATGCATCTACTCTTAAACAATGTCTCCATGTAGAAAAAAAGATAAGGTTTTAACTTAAAGAGATGCTCATTTAAAAGATGCTTTGCCAAGTTTTCAGACGTTGGTCTAATCATCTTGCAAACTGGCTTATGTTCCAGCTGGCTGCTGCTTTGAGGAAGTCATGACAACTTCTACTGCTTTGCTTCGCTTCATTATCTGAGAAAGGACATACTGATCCAAAATCTGCCCACGAAGTCTGCCTCTCAGAGATAGAAGGAAGCCAAGTCAGATAGCATCTATGGGTTCATAGGCACATATCTATGAAAATAAGATGTGCCATATTATTATAATTTTCTCACTTAAACATAAGGTAACTCCAAGAATAAGGAAGATAAGAAATCCATTACCTCTTTTAAAAAAAGAATGTTAGCTGGTCATTGTTTTAGCTGATATTTAACAAGAAGCTTAGCAAATGTTGGAAAAGGGAGATTATATCTACAAAGAATGGAGTTAGTCCAAAGGAAGTGCTTATTTGTCTCACAGGGGATCTTTACATTATGTAGATGCTTAAGTTAACAGAAATTTCTAAATTGGAATTTTATTTCTGCAATATGTATGATATGAGGCTGAATGGAAAATAAGGAAGACTATTACACATGGTTCTTAATCCTTATGTGGGAGAGAAAATAAACAAACATTAAGTCTCTTTATCTGACCAGTTATTTAAAATGAGGTCTACACCAAAAAATCTAGGGCTTTAAGTCTAAAAGGTGTTTAGAGGAGAAGGAAAAACTCATAAAGGATGAGCAAGTGGAAGCAGAAGTAATTAGGAAGGCTTCATGGAGGAGGTGAGATGAGAGCTGGAACTTGATATGGAAAGAAGAAAAGAGGGATTGGGTTGAGCAGAGCACTCACTGGTCCTGCAGGCGGAATGTGTAGCCAGTGTCACTGGCTATAGGAAACTTGGCTTAGAGGCACAAGACACATTCTGGGGGCTTGGTTGCTGAGGTTGGATCTACAGGATCAAGGGCTGACAGCGGTGTACTGGTAAGAGGTAGCTATTGGAGTCCATTGCCCTGAGTTACTTTTAGCCATTTACCCAACATGTGGCCATGAGCAAATTACTTAACCCTTGCCTCGTATGGTCTTTATCTGTAGTTATAAGTATGTAAAACCTCTGGCTCAATGCATTCCATCGCCATGAATTCCCCCTCCACTCTTGACTTGCCAAGAAATAAGGAACCATAAAGAACCAAAACATTTTGACTAATGATACAATGTAATAAAACCACAAAATAATTAATCCATTAACAAATTACTTTATAGCCTATGATGAAGGCAACAAATTCCTCAGGAAAAAATGGTGGTGGAGAAATCCCAAGGAAAAGGCACAGCTGAGTTTTAAAAAGCTGGTTTTACCTCTACTTAATGAAGCACTAGATTATTTCACTTTTATCCCTCCTGGAGCCCTGATAAAAACGAAAATATGTCAACAATGACTAATTACAGCTTTAATGAGTCTATTGTTTACTTCCTGGCAATAACCTAATAAGTTGACCATGTCTTAAACTCACCTGGCATTTTCCAATATAAAACATTTATAATTTTGTCTTTGACAACTTTCACCCCCAGCTGTTCTGGTGAGAAAAGAAAAGTCATCATTAGCACAAAGACATTTACAGTATGCCCACCTTTCCCTGCTGTTTGGTACATTTTAACGTCTCCTCAGACGGAGCAGCAGGCAGCTTCCCAGTGCCTGGCGTGGAGCCTGCTAAGGTCTGATCATGAAGAGAATCCTGGCAGGGCATCGTGGCTCTACCGTGTTCTGTAACTTTAGAACTTGCACACATTTTCAGGTTAATCATAATTTGGGGCTGAGAAAAGCCATGAGAAATACTCAAAAGTGTGCATAGTTTACTGAAATTATACTCAAATACGGTTGCTACCCAGACTCACACAGCACTGAGAAAGGGACTTTTGTTGGAAACATACTCTATTGACTGCTCCATCCCACAGTGATTGTGCTCACTGAAAAAAGAATCATGATTTCAGCAAAGAAATAAATGCCAAGAGTTGGAGTTTTCATAAGCTAAGACTTGGTATGAGTCAGTTCTTATGAAATTAGCTTTGCCTGTACTTTCCAGAGTCACTCTACACTGAGTTGCTGTAAGAACTTGGGTTGGCTTACATTGTATCTCATCTCTGCAAGGTTGCCTCCCTGAAGTCCATTCCTGCCCAAGGAAAAACATTACCTTTCGCATTAATGGTCTACATATTACTTTCTGGTATTTTTTAACAAAAGGACCGATATCATAATTTACTACATTAAGTCAAAATACCGAGAGGAAATGTTAACATGTTAGAGGGAAAGGAATCACAATAAAGCATCTGTCACAAAAAATACATTTGCTTATCTGGCACCACCCGATTTACGAAGGTCTGTGTCCTCAAGAAACTCTTGGGGATCAATCTATTTCTTCAACATCAAAGAATGCCCTTCCTATATCACTGTCACCAGCTTTTAAACAGAAAAATCCACCGATCTTTCTTTTACTGTCTTGTCTCCTAAGGTTCCAGTGAGCTTAACTGCAAGTGTGCCGTTCCTTCTGGCTAAACTCAAAGCTTCCCTGCTGAAATCTGAGCCCTGGTTGGTAGGTACTGTTATTGCAATGAGAAGCAAAATTATGAAAGCTAAATGCTTGCATATTAAATTTCAGGAGTATAAGTTCTAGTTACACAAATAAAGAAAGAAGTTTCACATTTGTTGTGTCTATATATTTCTGTTAAATACATTAAGGTAAATATTCCATTGACTATTAGGGAGCTTATGTTTGAGAATAAAGTTGGCTCTGCCCTTCTCTGATAATATCAGTAACTGACCTTCTAGTTCATATTTATACAATGACTAACACAGGCTAATATTAAGTCCATTTTATTTTCCCCAATTAAGCAGAGGGTGGGGCTATGATATTATATACCTGAAACTCTCCCAACTTCCAGAAGAGTTGACTTTCCCTAGGATCTAAAACAGAAACTAGTCTTATTTTTTTTAATGATTTCAGAGAGGAAGGGAGAGGGAGAGAGAGATAGAAACATCAATGATGACAGAGAATCATTGATCGGCTGCCTCTTGCATGCCCCCCACTAGGGATCGAGCTCGCAAACCCGGACATGTGCCTGGACTGGAATAGAACCCAAGACCCTTCAGTCTGCAGGCCGATGCTCCATCTGCTGAGCCAAACCATTTAGGGCCAGAAACTAGTCTTATAAATTCAACTACAGGTAAGGTGTCCTTATTGAATAATCAAATTATTTTACAAATGTCAGCAAGTGATATACTATATATCATGGTGAGTAGGTTTACAATTTCTTATACAATACACATAAGTAAAATAAAGTCTGAGGAATGAGTATAAGAATGCAAGCTGGAACATTTTTTTTCTCCAGCATAACAGCATTGACTGGGTTACATCAGGTATTGATTGCAAAGGATCAGCAAGGTCATAATGAACACACAGGCACGGGCATGTATGTACACATGCACACACCATGCACATATGCATACAGGTACATCAGGCAGGGAAAGGTCTTTAGGGAGTGGACTGTGCACGCATTCCCTAAAGCCAGTCTTCTATTTTACCTGATCTTATCAGAAAATAAGTCTGCTTGACTGTTTATGGAGTAAGCCAGACATAGATACAATTTGCAATACAAACTTCGTAAAATATACACACTTGAATTTTTCTATGCCCATAATTCAAAGTAGGAAAGTGAGATTACCTTTTTTGTTGAGAATTTGGTGCAAGTTTTCTAATGGGCAAAAGCTACCCTACTCGGCCAGTGTGGCTCAGTGATTGAGCATCAACCCATGAACTAGCAGGTCATGGTTTGATTCCTAGTCAGGGCACATGCCCAAGCTTCAGGCTAGATCCTCAGTAGGGGGCATGCAGGAGGCAGATGACCAATGATTCTCTCTCATCATTGATGTTTCTATCTTTCCCTCTCACTTCCTCTCTCTGAAATTAAATTTAAAAAATATTTAAAAAGCATCTAACTTCTAAAAAAAAAACTACTCTAATTATAAAGAGAGGGTGGCATCTACAGAAATGATGCCTCGCTCCCTTTGCCTGGGAGTAAGGTGGTACTAATTTCCTGGATGAGCAGAAGATGACAGAGAAGGAAGTTCTTTGTATAAGTGAGTGGTACATTAGGGCACTGCCAGTGTTGTTAAATAGGCCCAGACAGACTGCCCAGGTGGAGGCCTCATGAAGTTGTGCATTAAATGTGGCACAGCATGCTTCAAAGGGAAGATCAAAAAGTTGCCTGGGGACTCTACACTGTCAATGACCTCCATGATTTCTGCTTTTGATAAAAACTAGTACAGCAAACACATTTACAGAACCTCTGCATGTAAAACACTAAACCCAGGAGAGAGGAGGAAATGAAAAAAACAACATGGAAATACATGTGAGACACTTTAGAAACATTGAGAAGCAAAAATAAAGGGATATTGGTAAGAAATTAGAGAAAGAGTATGGAATATATAATCAAGATTAGGCTTCGCGTTCTGCTCGTAGCACAACTTCATTTAGAAAGCAAGGATACTAATCTCCACAGATTCACTCATCTACTCACTCACCCAATAAACATTTATCACCATGTTCTATGCACTGGGCCCTTAAAGCTTATTGTGGGATTAAATCAATTGGCATAAAAGGTCCCACTACCCCAACAACCGCAATAGCTAAAGCAACCGCATGCCCTGGAATGCTGACCACATGCCCAGTTTTCGCCTCCTGTTTTGTAAATGGCATCTCCTTCCACTCTCAGAAGGGTTCTAATTTCAACAAACTGTCTGGTCACTGCAGTTCGTAAGAGCCTCCTAACTTGTCCTCACGCCTGCAGTTTTGCCTTTCCCCCATCCATTCACCACATCACAAGCAGTTCTCTTTGAAAACTGTAAATTAGACCACATCACTGTTCTGCCTAATCCTTTCCTACGGCATCCCATCAAACTGAAAACAACACCCGAAGTCCTGCCTTACAAAGTGCTGTGTTTCATCCTGTTCATTATAACTTCCAATACCACAGAATCTCCTGCAGGAGACTCATTGGCTAAAACCCTCCTTTCTGTGATCCCATATGCAAGGCTCCTAATGGGGCAACACATTATTTTGTTTCTTTTTTTAAATTTATCTTTATTGCTGAATGTGTTACAGATGTCCCCTTTGTTTGTTGTTGTTTTTCCCATTGACGCCTTTCAGCCCATACCTACCCCGCCCAGGCCTTCACCACTCTATCGTCTGTGTCTATGGGTCATGCTTATGTGCATATAACTTCCCTTGTTCATGTTTATAAATGTATAAAAAATGGTGACTGTTTCAGGAAAATTCCAGAAAGCGTCATCACCATAGGATGCTAATGCCATTTACATCCTCTGTAAACGGAAGGATGACGTTTGCTACTGAGCCCGTTTTCACTTTGGACTTGATCCTTGGACAGAGGATAATTAATTAATTGCTCCATAATATGAGACTCTGCAGGCAGATCTTCCTGTGGACAAATTTCAGTGAAGTTGAATACTCAGAGCCTATATTCTAGAGAACTTTTGGAGGATTAGACAAATTTATAATTTACCTGCTTTATTTCTCAAACCCCACATATTTTAAAATAAAGTTATGATTGATCTTCCCCTATGTGATACAAAGACAAAATTCTAGAAAAAAAACTCTTGTTTTTTTCCTATATCCCCCCTCCCTCCCATAATTGTTCTCTAAAAGTGGCCTCTGTAGACAGTTTCTGGAGGTGTACATAAAGACTTTTTTGGATCCCAGCATCTGCTCAGCCATGATGACTAAAGTCCTTATGGGAGCCTCATGCAATAGACATTCCTTATGGGTCTAGTGCAGTGGTCGGCAAACTGTGGCTCGCGAGCCACAGTTTGCCGACCACTGGTCTAGTGAAAAGAAGTAGCTTTAACTATATTAAAGCAAGAAATAATCAAGAAGATAATATATTAACTAGCTCACTCATTAGTGTTGATTAGGTTCACTCATCAAACTCATTACCTCCCACAGTTACCTAAACCTATGTCTTCCAAGGCAAGTTTTCATTAGTAAAGTACCTGGTTAAAAAAGACACAACATATTTTGTTAAATGGATTATGAAAAAGCAGCAAAGATTAGAACGAGGCATATTTGTATTAATGAGATTCCTTAATGGGAATATAGAGAGGAAACCTAATAGAATAAGGTGAATGGCGGATGGAGGGACACTGAGAAAAGAGGTGGGGGTGTCCAAAGTCAAACCCCTATAACCTCTCCCTGGAAATTTTGTTCCTGGCTGGCCTTAAACACTTCATAACACAATCTAAATATCCATATTGTGGCTGGTCTCGGCTCACACTGGTCGAGCTTCAGATTCTAAAAGCTATTGTAAATAATTAAGTTGGGAAAACCACTCTGCCCTTTACCAGTGGCATTTAATTGAATATACTAGTATAATAATCTGCATGTTTGCTACTACACTAAGCCTAAAGATGTGTTGAAACAAGATGCAATAAAATGGTGAGGGGTAAAGGAGAAATACCAAATTGTTCAGCTAGAACTTATATAGACATATTTGTATTACTGGATTCCAGATGTAAAAGAAGCCACAAGCAAAAAGCTACCAAAAAATTCAAATGAAAGTGGTCTGGATAAATAGGATGAAATGAGATGAAAACATTAGAAGTCAGATAATAAAAGGCCTGGGATGGATAAAGGGGAATTTTATAAACTCCTGACAAGAGCTATGTATCATTCTGAGCATAGTATAAAGGCTAGTCCTTCAACCAAGATGAAGTTACTAACGGTAATAGACATGACGAGAACCTACCGAATGGCCTACCAGGCATGACGGTGATACTTCAGAAAAAGACAGAATCAAGACACTTCAGACCAATTCAAAGAATTAAATAAAAGCACAAAGAGAATTGCCCTGACCGGTTTGGCTCAGTGGATAGAACATCGGCCTGCGGACTGAAGGGTCCCAGGGTCAATTCCGGTCAAGGGCATGTATCTTGGTTGTCGGCACATCCCCAGTAGGGGGTATGCAGGAGGCAGCTGATCGATGTTTCTAACTCTCTATCCCTCTCCCATTCTCTCTGTAAAAAATCAATAAAATATATTTTTTTAAAAAGAGAATTAATAAAACATTGAGAAGTTGACCTAATTTCCATTTTTTTTCTTTTTTCAGAGTCTTTAGAGAAAACTATACTTATAATTTCTTTGCTGCTATCACAGCATTTTCCTTTCAATTCTGAGCCAAAACCCAATTCCAAAAGACTGGAATCATTCAAATTATGGTTTCCTGGATGTCTTTTTTTTTTGAGTCCACATTTGCCATGGACTGCCAAACATGAAGCTCTCTCTGAAACTCACAGGACCTTAGAGAATTCTTTCTCATCAACTTTTTGCTTACTGCTAGTGATATACTCACTTTGCCCAAACTATCCAGAATATACTATATTCCCACTTTTATTTATTTTTAATTTTTTTAAAAAAATGTTTACTGTTTCAGAGACAAAGAGAGAGGGAGGGAGAGAGAGATAGAAATATCAATGATGAGAGAAGATCATGGATCGGCTGCCTCCTGCATGCCCCCTACTGGGGATCAAGCTTGAAACCCAGACACTTTCCCTGACTGGGAATCTAACCATGACTTCCTGGTTCGTAGGTCAATGTTCAACGACCGAGCAACACCAACCAGGTGGTATATCCTCACTTTTAAAAGAGACTGTCAAGACAGTTCAACAAACATTTACTGAAGATCAACTATACGCAAGAAATTTTCTAAGTCTTGTAAATGGAGACAGAGGAAAGAAGCTAAGCCATGAATTGAATTCAGTTTCTACTCTGAATCTGCCTCAAATTTACTGGAAGATATCAATATCAGGAAATGACCTTGAAACAGATACTCACACTGTGTTCTCTGCTGCAGAAACTGGAATGGTTTTGTGGTCTGTTTCTATATCATGCATTTCGTAAAACACATCCATAAAGGAAGAGAAAGACAATATTTGGCATGTGCAGAAATAAGATATGCACCCCTACTGTTCTAATTCAGTTCCTTCATTTAGTCACACATCAAGACATGGGTATGAGAGATACACATGATCTGAGCAAAAAGATAAGGTTCATTAGCAAAAGACACTGCTTGCTCTCCTGAATCATAACTCGTAATTGTGTTCGTTCCATTTTTTTTCATAAGCCCTTCATGCTTAGGTAATCCAAGACAGGTAGGTGAACAAAAACAAAATCCAGAACTATCTTGTAAGGGCTTTATAGAGATGAAAGAAACTTGAGCCCAAAGGAATTTTACCAGTTTGGTTTCTTTTGCTGGTTCTCTCTAGAAGGCATTTTGGCTGAAGAAGTCATCCGCTGAGAAACAAAAACGGCTATTCCGAATCTTTTTCCAAATATAGAAGTTTGGGAATCTTGTTGAGAAAGGTGGTAATCTCAAAATTAGGCCCGATTAGGATGTGACCCTAGCAAGATATGGGTCAGACATGGTTCGAATCCCGGCTCCTCTATGTACTAGCTACACAGCCTGAAAATTTTATTCAACCTCCGTCCCAGATCCCTCTTGTGTAAATAATGGGGTCCCACATATATGCAGAAAACCTGGCTTACCCCTCAGCCAACTCGAAGATACTGCACACGTGGAGGTGGATCTGTTGGCAACAACTTCTTTGCAATCCCGTAATTTATTTTTAATTAGTATTGCAACTGCAAACACCCATTAATAACATTTCTCAATTTGTGCATTACCTAAATAATGAGACCCTGGCCAGGAAGTTCAGTTGCCTAGAGTGTTGGCCAATATTCCACGGTTGTAGGTTTGATCTCCAGTCAGGGCACATAAAAAAATTAACCAATGATTGCATACATAAGTGGAACAACAAATGGCTATTTTTCTCTCGCTCTTAAATCAATTTTAAAAACCACTTAATAATGACTGCAATAAATGACTCTGTTCCTAGTCAACCTGTATTTATTGGAAATACTTATAAAGTGCTCAAGTCCTATGAAGAAAAGTAGCATAGAATATAATACTTGCTCTAAGGGGTTTATACTTTAAGAAACAATTTTGAGTGATTGCCAAAATATATTGTTAAGTGAAAACAGGTGTACCCAGTTGTTAATGGGCATGGGACTATACACTTAAAATGGGTGTGCTTTTTGGTGTGTAAATTGTTCCTCAATTAAATCACTGAAAGATAATCACTGGGGGGAAAAATACTGCTGTCCAAGTACAATTCCTAGACATTCTGATAAAATGGGTCTAGAGTGTGTGGCTTGGGAAGAGGAGTATTAAAACCATCCCAGATAATTCTAATATGAAAAAAATATTAAAAAGCAGACAAATAAGATGCCAAACAGTAGGGTAGTAATTGGAGATGCCAGAGTTAGCAAATAATATTCAGGACACTCAGTTAAATTTGAATTTCAGACCACCAATTAAATTTTTAGTATAAGACCCAAATATTGTGCATTTAGCTGGATGTCAAGTATTTCATTTGAAAACCCTAAATAGTATCCTAGCTTTTGTGCAAAAATAAAAGGGAGGTGGGGAGAAAGGAGAATAAGTGTATCTAATTGTTTGTTTATGTAGGTATAACATAGATTTGGAAAATTTGCTTCTGGGGAGGGGAGCTAGATGGGAGGCAAGGAAAGGAAGGATACTGCTCACTGTATACTTTTGTGCCTTTTGAATTTTGGACCACAGAATGTACTACTTATTTTTAGAACAAATATAATTATAAAATCAAAAAATAAATAATTTCTAATAGGAGTTAAGAATCACTATAGGGAGACAAAGCAGATATATATGGTACACTTAGAAAACAAAGCTGATAAGAATTTGCCCAAATACTTGATGCTAGTATCCTCTGATTTTTCAGTGTAGTTAGATGTAAGTAGATATTAACCATTTGTTGAGTTGCTAGACTATAACTGGAATTACTAGTAACTTTAGCAACCTCCTGTTGTGTTGCTATTATGTTAAGCCAGCAATTTTTAAAACCTGCAATACCTGACTATTTAGTCAGGGGCACTGACCTCTTTTCCCTTAGATTGTCAACTTAAAAAAATGACAACAGCCAACACAACAACAGCTGTCTGCTGTGAATGAATCAAAAATATACCTATTTTTTGTTGAAATTTAAGTTACTAGTTAGGTAATAAAATGAAGCTTTTTGTAAAATGATTAGGGACCATTTATAAAAATTGTTTTCAGCCATCATCTTTAGTTTTCCAATTTATTTTGCTTATTAAAGTTTTAAGTTTCACAATTAAAAAATATATATATACCTATTTTTTAGTCAGATCACTGAAATACATACTTTTTTGGTGTGCCGTAGAATCTTAGTAATTGGTTTATGTGTGCCATGAGATGAAAAAGGTTGAAATCACTATAATCACTGTGCTCAGCACTTTACATACATTAATTAATTCTCACAAAAATATTTGGGGGTTTTGCAAATGACAAGACTGATACACAGAAAGGTTAGTTAACTTGCCCAGGACCACACAGCCAATGATTGGCAGGCTCAGGGTTCGAATCCAGATCTGTCAGAATCCACAGCCTGTTGCTTTTAAACACAAGACACCACCACACTGTCTTTCAGACACGCATTCCTAATGTCAGGAGATTTGGTTTGGGGCATGGAAGTCAATGCAACGAGAGAGAGCAGTGAGTAAGTACTTTTCTACACTAGCATCCGTCAGCAAGCAATGAAACACGGCACACTCGTAAGTACCTCCTTGGTTTTTAAGTAAATATACAGACACTCTTCACTATCTGCAGTGCTTCCGCTCCGGGTCAGTTCATAAATGCCACTTGCACAAGTGTAAACATATTTAGAACAAATTGGGAGTCTTCTTTCTAAATAAACTAGTGCATTCCTTCATAGAAGGGAGGATATTTTGTAATACGACCGACCTCTGTTTGGTTGCTTCTGGAAGGTGTACAAAGTGACCATAACCTAGGAGACTGCTAATTGCCCTTTAGAGTTGCGGGTCTTCATACAATACATGCGTGATGGTCTATGTGTGAAGAGGACTCTGCTAAATTACAAAGGATTTAAGTAGTTAAGTTTCTGGCTTGAGTCTGCAGTTAGTTAATTTCTAATTTTAAAAGCATGAGTAAATATTTGTCAGGGAGAAGCAGAATGTCACTGAACTTATCAAACCAGTCCTATTTTCACAGCTTACCAGAGACAGGACTATGTTAGAGGGCTGTTTCGTTTTCTGTTGTGAATGCTTTTGAAAAGATTTCTCCAAAATCTACTGTGGCCTGCACATTCTATACATTCCCAGTGACCTCCCTTCTTCACATTGCAGGGAGTCAGGGGTGGGGGTCAGGGGATTCTCTGTTAGACATGACAATTGAAAGCTAATACTTCAACAACCTTTAAAGCAAATAATTTAAGAAACAGTTGACCAAAAGCTCTCATCCTATTGAGAAGCGAGCTCTGTCTCCCTGAACAGGCATCAAGGTCTCTGTCAGCAGGTATCAGGGCCTCTGTCAGGTCCGGATTGGAGAGGTGGGGAGGCAGGCACCTTCCTCTCCAGGCCAAGGCCAGCTAGAGGAGGGCGTGCTGCGGGCAGCGCTGCCTTGTTCATATCTGTGCTTTCTCCCATCGTACACCAACCCTTCTGAGTAACTACTATTCCAAATTCACACTTTTAAAAAATAAACTCAGGAGTCATTGGAAACGGTGCCCCCGAGACGCTGTCAGCCAGACCATGGCTCCTTTTGTCTGTAGCGCCATCTTTGTTTAGCAGTGTTTGTGCTGTCGTCCGAATATTCTGTTTGTTTTCTTCTTTATCCCTTATAAAAGGGAGCATTTTCTTTGAGAGAACAAACTTAAAGAATCTGCATAAAATGTTTCATCTACACCATCAAGGCTATGTCTCAAATGCTATGAGTAATTGAGGACTTTATGTTAATTTTACCTCCCTCAGGTTCCCTACTGCTTATCACCCCAAACTATACCATAAAATTTATTGTTTATATTTTTGTATATATTTGGTTTGATAGATATTTTTCCAAATGTATTACAGTATCCTCATAAGGTACTGCCAGTAATCTGCATAAAACTTATATTATTTCCAATAAATCAAATTGCATCTCCATTTAATTGTATTTGTTATATCTAACTGAATCAAGTTTTTTTTCTCTTCCTAAATTTAAAATTACAGAAATTGAATGATTTATGTCCTTTATAAACTATAATGGTTAAAAATTTTTCCCCTCAGTTTTCTCAAGACCTCACTCCCTCCTCCCACTCCCCCTATCCCCCGTATGTCACCAGCCTGTTCTTACTTCAATGTCTCCTTATCTAGAGCCTGTGGAAATATACATACATTTATTTATGAATAAGTTACATGAATTTTCCCATTTAATATTTTAGCAATATGAAGGCTCAAGGCTCAGTATAAAAATATCTGTACAAAAATTGCTGATAGCCCAGCTGATGTGGTTCAGTGGGTGACTTATGAATAAGTTACATGAATTTTCCCCATTTAATATTTTAGCAATATGAAGGCCCAAGACTCAATATAAAAATATCTGTACAAAAATCGCTGATATGCCGAAACCGGTTTGGCTCAGTGGATAGAGCGTCGGCCTGCGGACTGAAGGGTCCCAGGTTCGATTCTGGTCAGTCCCTGTGTCCATGTGGTTTTCTTTCATCAATATATCTACTCCTCTCCCTAACCTTCTCTCTAAAAATCAATAAAAACATGTTTTTTAAAAAATTGATGATAATGTAGGTTTATAAAACAGCTACAAACAACTATTTTTATAAATTCTGACAAGTCTTAGGTTAATAATCGAATTAATTAAAACATCAGGACAAATTAAGCTCAAGAATTTGGGCATCAACAATCAACCCATAAAATATATGTGGGAAGGTTTCGAGGAGTTTATAAGCTTTTGCTGAATATTTTTGGTTTTCCTTAAAATTTCACTATTTGAGCCTATACAGTGGGGCCTTGACTTACGAGTGTCTCGACTAACGAGTTTTTTGAGATACCAGCTGTCTCTCGGCAGATTTTTTGCATTGAGTTGATAGAGTAATTTGAGTTAACGAGCTCCTTAACAAGCTCCTTAACGAGCTCGGCCTCGGAACAAATTAAACTCGTAAGTCAATGCCCCACTGTACTTAACGAGCTGCCTCGGAACAAATTAAACTCGTAAGTCAAGGCCCCACTGTACTTTGTACCTTCCTCCACATCTTATCAGAAAATTCTTAGCACCAGCGGGAGAATGGATCAATAAATAGAAGTGAGCATGGATATTTAAAAGAGTGAAGGCTTGGAGGGGGCAGTTCCAGGTCTATTTAAGTAAGTAGAGTGGTCAGGTGGGTTGGAGGCTCCAGCCTTTCTCATTCTCCTGGGCTGCCCCATGGTGACTGTTAAATCCATAGATAAATGAAGGCCTCCCTGTCTACAGCAGTGGTTCTCCATTTTGGCTGCACATTAGAATCAGGAATCTTTTTAAAATCCTGATTTCTGGGTCTCATCCTCCGGAAATTTGGTTTCTTTGTTACTAATGCTGTGGCCCCACCCCATAACAAAAAAACAGAATTTCCGGAGGATGAGGCCTGATCAAACGTATCTCCTCCCTTCAGTTTATCAGAGGCCCGGTAATTTCACCATGACAATAATTTCATCTGAAGGTCTTTAAGAACG